ATACTCAACAGTCTGACGCATCAAAATGTCTATATAAATCATAAATCAACTTCTTTCTATTCTCCAGAGTATCGGAAAAGAAAATATAAACTATATTTGAATGACAAGTCTCTTCCAATTCCAAAGCAAACTCGGCACAATCAAAGACTCAAAACCTATCTTCAGAAAAACAAAACCTATCTTCAGAAAACATGAGATCAAAAACAAAGATGAAATACCAATCGCTGCCGAAAGGCTTAAACAGCAATTACAAGCTAAATCACAACGGATCCGTCGCCTTGATAAGAAACAAAAGTTCTATCGTCATAATAAGACCGCAAATCCTGAAATGTGTCCAAAATGGCTGACATCTGGAATTACCTTTCTCTTGCCGAAAAATGAAGAAACTGCAAATCCCAAAAATTATCGGCCAATCACATCTTAACCAACAATGTATAAGATCTTAAGAGCGGTTTTCCGAGACCGTCAAGCAAGGTTGGTAAAATGAGAAAACTCAAAATCCTTCAAACTTTGTCATAAAATTGCATTTGGTGAGCTGGTCGTGCTGTGTGAGTTTGGGTTCAATCAGGATAATATTCGGGAAGAAAAGCGACAATGTTTGATTTCAATGTTTACTTCCGGTTTTTTCGCTTAATTTAGTGCACTGTACAAAACGCAAAATAACAGCAAACTTTCTTCGTTTTGAAATGAAATCGAATTTCCTCTACAAAATATATACATTTCTTTGTTATATTACAAAATATTGCAATAAAATATTAGAAAGAGAATATTTTACGGATTTTTCATTAATTAACAGTTTTTCGAGCTAAATTTACTATGCACGAATAAAGCCCAATTAACTCCAATGTTATATCGATTTAGACATTGAAATCATAACTGTTTTAACGTCTTAAGATGGCTTATTCAAAATATGGAATAAAATTTTTGGGCAATTCAAATCGTGATTTTTGGCGATTATTTTTGTAAGCGGTATTTTAACCGAAATTCGAGCTTTGTTGACATCTCTGGCACACACGTGCGAAGTCACGCAATTCGAAGCAACTTTTAAAACATGCCATTTCCAAGGAAAGTTTTAAAAAGAGATTAGGTTTGGTCTGGAACACAACGCTGTTACTTAACCATGCAAAAGGAACAGTCACATCTCGTAACATCAACATTAATAGTGGTATCTTTCAAGGTGATTCACTCTCGCCACTTCTCTTTTGTGTTGCTCTTGCACCATTATYTTCTCTTCTCAATGATAGTGGATATGGATATAGAACAGGTGGTCAAGTAATCAATCACTTGTTCTATATGGATGATTTGAAGACATACGCAAAGACTGGTTATGAACAAACAGGCTTACTTACCAGTGTGAAAGGCTTTAGTGATGATATCAAAATGGAGTTTGGACTAGATAAATGTGCGAAAGCAACATTTAAGAGAGGAAAGTTAATAAGTGCTGAAAACATCCAACTTGATTTACAAACGACCATCAAAGATCTTGACCAAGAGGACACCTATAAATACCTTGGTGTTAATGAAGGAGATGGACTTCAACACTCAATGATGAAGGAAAAGATTCGCAAAGAGTATTACAGAAGKATACGTCTAGTTCTTAAGTCAGAACTAAATGCTATCAATAAAATAAGTACAATAAACACCTTAGCAGTCCCAGTTGTCACTTACAGCTTCAATATCATCAACTGGAAAATAGAAGAACTCAAGCGACTGGATAGAAAGACAAGAAAGHTTTTGACAATGGAAAAAATGCACCACCCTAAGGCTGACGTGGATAGACKGTACTTGCCAAGAACATCAGGTGGTAGAGGTCTTATTCAAATTGAGGCCTCTTACAAGACAACCACGATTGGCTTTGATATTTATCTTAGCGACAAGCAAGACAATCTACTGCAAATAGCAATTGAGCATGACAAGGCAAAGAAATTATTTTCCATTCAMCATGAAGCGACAAGGTTCAAAAGAGGTCTCGATCTACAAGAGATACCGAAWACAGCGAATGAACCAACCACTATCTATGCCCGGAGAACCAAAATAAWAGCAAAACATTATTCTGAAGAACAGCTAAAGAATTCCTGGGAAGAAAAACCACTTCATGGAAAGTATCCAAAGCACCTTAATGATAATGATGTTGATCACCTTCAGACAAACAAATGGCTCCAAACCTCTGGATTAAAATCCCAAACTGAAGGCTTTATGATTGCTGCCCAAGATCAGTGCATTGCAACAAACTATTATAAAAACAAAATCCTAAAAGATGGTACTCGTCCTCTATGTAGAATTTGTAATCAACAACTTGAAACGATAGACCACATTGTATCGGGGTGCCCAGAGCTTGCTAAAACAGAWTATATCCATCGACATAACAAAGCAGCCAAATATATCCATTGGAAAGTATGTAAACACTTCAATATAAATGTTAATGAGCGATACTATAAACACGAACCAACAACTGTGACTGAAAACGATCAAGTTACAATACTATGGGATATGGGGATACATACTGACAGAGAAATAACAGCCAACCGTCCAGATATTGTTGTGAAAGACAAAGAAAATAAAACATGTTTGCTAATAGACATGTCTGTTCCCACAGAGAAAAACATCTCAATAAAAACAACYGAAAAACTCTCAAAATATAAAGACCTTGAAATCGAAGTGGTAAGAATGTGGGGCTTGAAAACAAGTACAATACCTGTGATAATTGGTGCTTTAGGACTTATTAAAAAAGGGATAGATAAATATAYAAACAAAATTCCTRGAAATATMAAAATAGTAGAKCTACAGAAGATTGTGCTCCTTGGTACAGCACATATACTAAGGATGACACTATCCATCAAGTAAAACCAATCACACTTATGTATGGACTCCTTGTGTTCAAGGGATGAACACGGACCTAATTTGATAAAACTTTGAAAAGAAAACAATACAGATAATAATGTGAAGACCACAACAATACCTGTGGTAATAGGTGCTCTCGGTCTAATCAAGAAAGGGATGGAAAAATATGTCAAGCAGATCCCAGGTAACATCAGGGTACAGGAAATACAGAAGGTTGCTGTCCTTGACACTGCTCATATAATAAGGAGAGGGCACTGTCAATCAAATAAACCATACACCCCCTCATAGCAGGGCCGTAGTCAGAGTGAATGGACAACCGAGGCAAGCGCGACCGCCGATGGCGGGAGAAACTAGGGGGGTCTGGGGGCATTCTACCCCTAGAAAATTTGAAATTCAGTCTCTCGGAAATGCAAGTTGCAGCGTTTTGTGGGCCGTTCGGTAACTCTTTATTGAACAGATTTAACCGGAATTCATCATGCAATATTTATGAAACAAAGAAGCTACACGTACAAATATAACATTATTTTTATATTTTTTGCACAAAATCAGTCGTACGAAATCGGCTCTGAGAGGCTAAGATAATATTAGTGATGAAGAACAAAAAGCATCGGCAAACTTTTACCGAGGCGAGTGCCTCGGTTGGCCTCTTACTAGCTACGGCCCTGCATAGATGCCCCAAGTCCAGGGCATTGGACTCGGCATCATGAGTGAATAGAGCAAAATAATTAAGAGGTAATAATAATGAAAACCATCTTTTATTTTCTTATAAAATACAATTGCGAATCTCGCTACATGTAGGTAATTCACAAAAGCATACTTGAATCTAACAAGATTAAATATATATAATATATATATAAAATAAAATAGAAAATTACAGAACAAACTACTGTATTTCCATGATGTAATTTTCACTACAATATTGTTTCGTATGGTCCAGAGGACCACACTCATCAGGTGAAACCAATTACATGACCGTTAAAATCTAAAGGTTTACATTAAGTACAAGTTTGCAATTGACGCTAAAGTATAAAATTACAGATTCGTGATGTTATAGATACAAGAGCGTGACGGATTAAATGTTTATCCGTTGTAAAATCTTAAGAGGTATTTTCGTCTATGTCTACATGTAGATACAAGTTCGTTACGCTTATTTAAGGTTGCTTCATGTCTATGGCAAATTATTATATATTTCTCACTTATACATCTATGTCTACATGTAGATACAAGTTCGTTACGCTTATTTAAGGTTGCTTCATGTCTATGGCAAATTATTATATATTTCTCACTTATACATAACTTACAGCGTTTGCTTAAATGATTATATGATTTTGATTTCGTTAAAATTGACCATTTAAGAGTGAATTCGATATTATTGTCCTTTAAGCTCCAAATATATTTAGAAAGTTCGGTGGCATTTTTCTTCTTTTCATTTCTAAATGATGTTGTGTGGTTTCTGTATCTTGTTTTAAATTCATTTTCTGTTAGGCCTACGTAAGCTTCTGTTCTTTCGTCTGTCGTGACTGTAGCTTTGTATTATTATTATTTGTATTATTATTATTATTTGTATTATTATTATTTGTGACTGTAGCTTTGTATTATTATATTGTTGTTGAGCACTTTTTTAGTTTTTTGATGAAATTTTTCATATACAGCTGTTTGCAATAATTCTGACCCC